ATATAAAAGTAAACAATAAGGATATATCTAAACGGTCCCCAAGTTGAGATATCTTTTACTGTAGTTGGTACTACTTAAAATTCCCCTTGACAGATCACACAACAAATGTCGAAGTATTCAATCGAATGGACAGAGGACAAGAATTGCTGCCAATAATAAGAAGAAGAAAGACTTCTTATCTGGTATATATATTTTGAAATTAAAGTAAAAGTTCTTAAAGCATATTACGGAAGGGAAGATAGAAGGAAAACGAAAAGGACATAGGGCGTCGAAAGAAAGAAATACTCATGGCTTAAAAACATAAGCGATTGGACAAACCTCGATGCCCATGCACTCTTTAGAGCCACGCAAGATCGAGGCGACCATGCCAGAATTGTCGCAAACATCAACTTATTGGATAGAGCATCATAAGAAGAAGGAGTTAGAGCCTGAAGAAGACTTTCCAGAGACTGGGGTGAATGTCGTGGCGGACGTGATTAATTTGACTTAGTCGAAATATTGCATTTTTCTGATATTTTCATTTTTAGTTATTCCTGTTCCTCTTTTTGTAATAATAAATTAATAACTATAATAATAAATCGAATTTTTGCTGTCTTTTTTATTTCATAATAACTAGTTATGTGAAACTTGACGCCTCTTTTCTGACTATTATATATTTTGATATCTTGACTTGTCATTTTGGGTACAATAGGATAGTACAACTTAGTATGATTGATTGATTGATTGAATAGATGCACGATTTATTCCCCAGCTTTCAATATCGGGATGATTTGATTAGATGCGTTTAGATGCAAGTCACGTGATGTACATACAGATAAACGGTTTTCTGTTTGCTGCTGTTCAGTTGTTCAGTTAATCACACATGTCAATGTCAACATCAGTAAGTGTCAACAAGTTAAATGACTGCAATATTAAAAATTCGTTGGTCAAATTCATTTTAAACATAATCTTGAAGATAATATATCCTTTAATTGTATTATTTTTAAAAAAGAGGAAAACCTACACACTCCTTTCACCTACATAAATGTAATAACAAAAGAACCTTTACCAATAAGCAAAGAAAAGAAAAAAGATGTTTTGCATATTTTGCATTTAATAGATCCTTTGTTTCACGACTTCTATTCAAATATAAACACAACTAAAACCAAATCAACAGATCTCGATATGGACGAAAGAGATCCAGATGTTGTCGATAATGACAATGCAGATGAAGAGAGCATTGAATAATAACAAACACGATTATTGTTTTAAATTTTTTTTGTGTGTGGCAAAGAAGATTATTTTTATATTTTAATTACAATTTATTTTATGTTTCGTTTCTGTTAGTTTCTAAAATAAATATTCCAAACTGAAGTTCATGTTTTATTTGGCTGTAAAGTTACTCTATTCCATCACATTTAATTGAATCAGAGTAAGCTGCAAAAATTATAAAGAAAAAAAACAACACTACGTGTATATTAGGGTGGGCCGAAAAAATTATTTGTTTAGTTTTAATACACAATACCCCCAAAAAGATGCCTTTTGGTAAGTATAATCACTGTATTTTTTTTAGGATTTTTAAAAAAACATCTTCAGCCCTCTACCACCCCTAAAGTGAACCCTAAATCAAAATTATTTAATTTAATTAGCAATACCTGTAAAAAGTTTCAATTATATGCAAAGAGTTCATGTTATTTTTTTTATACATTTAGAATAAGATATTCTACCCTCTACCAACAGATAATGATCTTGAATCAAAAATAAAAATAATAAATTCACAATTATTTCTGAAAAATTGTGTGTAAATATGGGAAACTACTGCACATTTTATAGGGTGTTGGGAAATAAAACAAAATTTGAACTGAACTAAAAGTTTATTGGAAACCGAAAACAAACAAAAATATAAATATCCTATTTTTAAACACACTAAAATGCGAAATAAAAATCAATAGAAAAATGCGTTCATTCAATTTTAAATTGTGCTTTGTTATCGTAATTTACAAGAAAGTCTTTTGATTTTATTTTAGATCGAATAAATCCGTCTCTGCGTTCTGGCCCTGTAACTAGCAAAGATGATTCCGAAACCAATTTCACACATCTCTCCACAGCTTGCGTGTGGCATGGATATTTTGGAAAGTCAAAGTCTGCAATTATAGAGCTATCAATTAACTGTTTCAGCTCATCATCTGGTATGTCAGCTAACATTGGTGGGGCCGTTACTTCACATTCACTCCAGTTTATTAACTCAAAATACTCCGCAGCATTAAAGTTTATTTCTGGTATTTTAAACTGCCTTATTCCGACTTTTTTCTCTTTTCTGGCTTTAATAATTCTCCGTAAAGCTAATTCTCGTACCCATTGACGATTATCTGTTAACATACATAAGAGAAGATTCTCCGGATGAATATAATAGGAGTTTCGTTGGATAACTGCATCTATAATATTTTTAAGATCATCTCTTAAATATCTTGATAGTGTAATGGATTTGAAAACATGCAAACTGGCTTGTGTGCAACTTGGATTAAGCTTTATAAAAAACCACATTGGTGCATAGACTTTAATTATAAATTGAACAAGATCTTTCAATCTTGATGTAGGATGTTCGGTTCCAACGTAGAGGCGGAGAACTCTATTTGCCATTGTCAGCCATCTGGAATGAGCTAACTTTCCAGGGCTACGATTTGCTAAATTTTCATAGACGTTGCCATTTGATATTGCTTGGCATATGTCGTACAGATATGACTGGTCTGAGCTTAATTCTTTAGATGGTATTGTTAGTTCTGGGAGATCACTTTCAATTATTTCAAAATCTACGATTGGAAGGTGTTCGCATTTTTCCAATAATTTCCCGATCACTCCAGAGAATTGACGAGGTCCAGTAGTAGCTCCATCCAAACGTTGAAATAAATGTCTCAATGGCAACTCATTAGCATGTAAGGCACACACAAACCATTGCAAAGGTCGCTTAAGTTCATTTTCGATATATGTTATAACTCCATTTTTATGTCCAGTATTCACTATGGTTCCGTCACAACCAATCGCCACTAAATTATCCAAACAGAAGTTATTTGAAATGAGAAAGTCTATTATTGCCTTTCCAATTGACTTGGCTGAGCCTGCAGATGGGGTAACGTGCCCCAAATAAACAGAATTCGGTTCTTCTATCAATGACACATGTTCTTCTGCAATAGTTCTTTTATGATATCTCTCACCTTTCTTTTCCTGCACTAAGGTTTTGTCCTTCCTGCCATCAAAGTAAATACTCTTAATGGGTTTATTTGTAGACTGAAACTCATTACTAAGGATATTTCTGTTCTTTTGACGAGCTCTTCTAACTTTATTTTTATCGATTACTTTTGAGGTATCACTATCGCAAATAATTCCCACATCTTTTAATACAGCTGTGGCAACAGCAGCTGCTGACCTGTCAGAAATTCCATATTTGTCACATATGGTACCTAATGTGGGCAACTCTATCCTCATTTGACTACAGGATGGTTTCGACGGTAAATCAATATTTGCAACACTAGGTGAGGCTTCAGATGAAGAAGAATTGTCAGAGTCTGTTGATAACCTAGTGACCTCAGTAGAACAGCTGGGCATAGAAATATTGTGAAATTCAGATTTGAATTTTTGTACTCGTTCTGTTTCTTTTGTTTGTCTCTCCGTCCTTACATTCAACTTTTTAGTTGTTTCACGATCAACAGTTCCTATAGCCATATCTCTAGTGGACCGTTGATCCAAAAGAAATTCCTGTTCCTGCTTTGGTACTTTTCTTGATTTATCACACTTGCAATACTTGCATGCAGAAAAATCACACTTACAGGCAGCAATGTCGAACAACTTATCCCTTGTTTCCTCTTTGAAGCTGGTAATCTTTAACTCATATTGAACATTTCTTTTGCTTTTTGGATATCTGATAAGGTTTAAATATTTATTATGATATTTACGTAATAATTGCATGATGCGGTCCTTTGACACGGTTGGAATTGACGCTGATTCCCATATACTTTTGATTTTTGGCACAAGCACTTCACAAACTTCATTAAAACTTGGTTCCTTTCCAAAATATTTAGTAAACTTCAGTTCATAACGAATAAACAAATAACATCGAAGCACATGTTCTATCGTTGGTAAAACATGACAGTTTAAGTCGACTGGGTTACCGAAAATTGGACATTCTACTTTACTTCTTGTAATATTTAATTTTAAAGCAGCCATATTTATGGTCGTGCTAGGTATTCACGCAAATACAACAAACACAATCTATTCGTCTTGGCTTTCAACAAATAAACAATAAACATGCGTTTCACCCGAAAGCTTATTTCGCACTAAGAAGATAAGCGACGACAAGTACCATAACTCTCGACGATCCATCTCAGCCGGGACTGTTCGATTGTATCCGAGGCTTCACGACCAAGACCATCAGTATTAAATACTTTTATATTATATTATTATACTTTTTATGCTTTAAAGTTATACGGAGTTAATTTTACATTTTGTGTTTGGAAAAAGTTGGAAAATTGAGATTTTATTTTAGTTAGAGGGTGGTAGAGGGCTGATAAAATCATTTTAAAATAATAAGAAAAAAACAAAAGATTTATACACGGTAAAAGACAAACTTTGAGCGGTATTGTGTTCCTAATTTATTTATTTATTTTTCAAGGTCACTTAAGGGCTGGTAGAGGGCTGAAGACATTTTTTCAAAATAAAACAAAAAATCACAAGTATTTTTTACACATATACGCATCTTTTTACGGGTATTGCGTTCCTGTTTGATTCGTTTTTTTTCTGAAGTCCAGTTTCGGCCCACCCTAGTGTATATATATATATATATATATATATATATATATATATATATATATATATATATATATATATATATATATATATACATATGTATATAAATATTTAATGAAAGAAAACAACAATAATTATAAAAAAATATTTTTATTACCTAAATGCTACAGTTAAAACAAAAAGACTAGATTACCACATCAATTCAACAACAGACAATGCTGTTAATATTTGTAACCCCCGTTACTGTCATAATGGCTTCCCCCTCCGTGTTGATGAGCATAATGGCCGTGATCATAACCCGATGCATACCCACCTCCAGTTGTGTAAGTGCTTTCACCTATAGAATATCCACTGGAATGGTGGCCTCCAAATCCAGAGTTGTATCCACCTGAATATCCACCGCCGTAAACACCGTTTCCAGAAAACTCTCCCCCGTGACTTGAACCTATAAGAATTGCTGAGGTATCTCCTCCAGAGTGTCCATATCCACCAGCATATCCGTTATCAAATCCACCTGAAAAACCTCCACCAAATCCTACCCCATGATTTCCACCATAACCTCCTCCAAATCCTCCTCCAAAGTTTCCTTCAAAATGATCATGTCCGTGTCCATGTGAATGTACTTTTACAGGTACCTTAACAACAACTTTTGTAGGGACTTTTACGTGAACATGTTTTTTCACAAATACTGGATAATACTTTGGTACAGTCACATGTACGGGAGTAGGTATTTTGACATATTCCTTTACTGTAACTGGTACTGGATAAGGTTTGGGAACTGGCACCGGTACTGGTCTGGGAACAACTACTTTTACCGGATGCGGAACCTCCACCCTAACTGGACGAGGAACTGGCACTGGGTGGGGAACTGCTACTGGCACAGGCACTGGGCGATCCACTGGAATGTGTACTGGTTTTGGTACTGCAATGTTAATGTGCTCGGTATGTTCTATTATAGTTGGAGCAGAACCTTAAAGAAATATTCTACTTTTAGAAAAATAATTACTTAAAATGAAGTTAACATTAAGTTAGTATAAAATAAAAATTAATTGCACAAATAAAGAATAAAGATATTATTTAGAGATTTAAAGATTAATAGTTTTTTTTAAATTTACACATTTTAGGTTTATACAATTATTTTAAATTATTTATTTTTCAAAATAAAATTTGTACACTCCAAGTAGAAACGTCAACATTTGTAATTTTTTAAATTGTCTCGTTTAATCTCAAAAGATATAGCAATATCTAAGCTGTTAAAAAAAAATATTTTGTTTTACCTCCTCCTAATCCTGGTCCTCCCCCAAAGTCAGGGCCAGCACCTCCAAATCCAGCGCCAATAGCACCACCAAAACCTCCTGGTCCTGGTCCACCAAATCCAACGCCACCTCCAAGTCCAGGGCCACCACCAAATCCAGGGCCTCCATCAAATCCGGGGCCACCACTAAGTCCTGGGCCACCACCAAATCCTTGGCCCCCACCAAATCCTGAACCAGTTCCAATTCCTGGACCTCCACCAAATCCACTTCCTCCAAAACCAGGTCCACCCCCTGTACCAAATCCTCCTCCAATATTAATTCCTCCTCCGATTCCTCCCGAGCCATGACCAACTGATATTCCTCCATGAAAACCTCCTCCTCCTCCTGCTCCAAATCCTACTCCATAGGTAGCTGACGGAACTGGGGGAATTAGGTCGTTATGAACACCACCCAGTCCTCCACCTTGAACAGTGTCAAGGGCGAGGGACAGTAGTGTAGGGATGAACTGAAAATTATTATTATTTTATTAAATTGTTAAAGAAGATACAGGAAATCATATTTTGAAAGTACATATATGAAAGCTCATTACTAGTTGGTGAGAAAGTATCATCTATTAGGCACTTGATTGCTTTTATATTAATTAAAAACATGTTTATTTACATATTTACGCGATTTATTTGTTGAAATAACTACGAAAAATAAAATTATTGTAATAATATGCAAAAGAGAGTATTATATAATATAATTATTTATGTCTTTATTTAAACAAAATAATAGGAACTTCACTAATTAAGATTATGTGTCCAAGACTTTATAAAAAAATAACTGAAATGAGTAAAATTTCTGCATAAACACTATCGTTCACAGCTAATCGTTATTAACCAATTGCCTACAATAGTTTTTATACGAATGATATATTATATAACGGGGATACAGGAATGATTTTTTTTTCGTCTAATAAAATAGGAGTCACAAAGGGTGGGTCTCACTATTAATGAAAAAAAAAATCAAATATTTGGTTATGAGTCAAGAGCACCAAATGGCGCCTAACAAAATCCAACAATATTTATTGCATTAAGACTTCTATCCTAAGACATTTGGAAACAATAGGTGTATACCGTAATATAATACGAAGAATCTAGAGGGCATTATAGTTATAATGAGGGTACCAGTGATTTAAGAAGAGTTCATCTTATGACTGAAATTTAAAAGTGGCAGATTTAGTTGAGTAGAGCTAAGCTACCTGGAGCGAATGGCTGAAAAGAGAACAAATAGGCTTACTACTATTAATCGTCAGGCATGTAACTGAAAGGAAGGCGAGAAGAATAAAGTAATGGAATTAAGTGCTTGCAATTAATGTAGAATAAAATGAATCAAATAAAAAAATTAAGTTCTATTTTATGCGATAAAACAAAAAAAAATAATGTAATTCAAAATTAAATTCTTTTAGTATTTAGACCAAAGAAGCTCAATTAAAATGGAGGTCATTCAAGGTTAGACCCTTGACAGGTTAGCCCCTTAACATAAAAAATGTTAAAATTATTACCACTGGACTGAAAATAGGAAACAGAAACTGTAATCAGTGGAACAGTTTAACAAGAAAAATTTCAATTGGCCAACAAATATATTATTTAAAATGTTTATAAAGCTATGTTATAGTTTTTATTTAAAATCGAAAAGGGATGTCAAAATACACATGCTTAATTCCACGTCAACTGTGCACAATTGGTCAGACAAATCGAAAGGAGTACTCAGGATTTTATTCCTCTTACATTTTACAGATGTATTCTTTATTATAAAATATAACGATTTACCAAATTTTAACCTTTTAGGTCCAAAATAGCTGTCTATATAGTATTTTTTTTTCAAAAATACATTTTTTTCTCGTATTTTATCACATTTTCTTCTATAACCTTGATCGATCTTACATCCCGTATTTTATTACTTTTCCTAGATGCTCAAAAAATATCCAAAACTGCATTTTCGATATATGTTTGTTTTTAATTTAGGAAAAGTTGTTAAAAAGTATATAATTTAAGTTAAAAATAAGCAAAGCTCTTATATTTTAGGATAAAATGGAATTAAATTTACTTGAATGGCCAAATTCCCATTTTTTCCGAAATTGTACGTCTTCATTGGTAGTTTTCTACAATTTATTATTATTTTCTTAAACCAAATGCGATTATGAACACAGATTTGGATTCACTACAAAAATTTACACAAAAAGTGTATTTGATATGATATGCTTAGTTTAGCAATAAATTAGATGTCTTAAGTACTTGGAAACAATTTTGCAATTGTAATTTATTAGTTATAAATTATTCTTCTTCTACTGACTCTACAACCCTTGCTGGGTCTTGGCCTGCTTTACAACTTTCCTTTATTACATCCTGTCGGATACTTTTCTTCCCCAGTGCCTGATGTTCATGGTTTTAAGATCTTCCTCTACATCGGAGCCTCCTTTTGGGCCTTCTTCTTGTTCTATTTCCCTGGGGAATAGGATTTGGAAATCTTTCTATATGACCAAGCCAGTTTAGTCTTGGTGACTTTACAAATTTAACGATATCTGGTTATTTTTATCTCTCATAGGATAATAGGTCTCATGACATAGGTCTCTCATGACTCATAATTCATTTTTATCCTCCACAAACGATCGAGATAATGTGTTGGTCCAAATATGTCCAAATATTCTACGATAAAAATCCTGTGCAATCAAGGAAAATCATAGGTGGCGATTTCAATGCCAAAATGCACTAAAAAGGCTTCTAAAAAATCTTGGAAAATTTTGGAAGCGAAGGCAGAAATGATAGAGAAAAACAACTGTTAGCTTTCCTTTTGGAAAACAATCTCTATCAAATGAACAATTTTTTCAAAAGGAAAAATCACAAAAGATGGACATTAGATTGCCCCGATGGAAACATAAGGAATAAAATCGACTATTTCTTAACAAACAAAAAAAGATTTATTTAAAAATGTAAATGTGCTAAACCAGCTTAGTACAAGCAGTGATCATAGGTAATTAAGAGCGAAAATAACGATATCGTTTGAAAAAGAAAGACTCAAAATGATAAATAAGAAACAACCAAAGAGATTGATAGATCCAAGTAATACTCAGGAGTTAGAAAAGTATATTAAACATTCATAGAAAGACAAAATAACAATAGATATATATATAAATATATTAAACAAACAAATAGTCAACATAATGCAACATGCTGAAACTAAATATTGTCCAATAAACAAAAAGGATCTAAGTTAACTTGCTTTGGATCATGCTTACTTGATCATGCCTTGAAGAATTTGGATTGGCTTACAAAGGGAATAAATATAGATAGGGAATATCTAAACAAGTTACGTTTTGCCGATGGTATCGCCATAGTAGCTGAGAATCTAGGAATAGCAAGAGAGATGGTACAGAAATTTGATGTAGTTATAAAAAATCTAGGTTTTAATATAGAGATCTCTAAGAAAATATTAATTTGCTACCCAATCAGAACATCAGTATTGGATGGTAAGAAGTATATATTGTAGATAAATATAAATATCTAGGACATGTAATTATGATTGACAGAGATAATCAAATCCATGAATTCAAGAGAAAAATTGGTCTTAGGTGAGCAGCATATGGAAAACTGAGAAAACTTTTACAAGTCAGTTGCCCACATGGTTAAAGAGAAATGTATTTAATCAATACAATATTTTAGTGTTGACGTACGGAGCACAAACACTAACAAAAGCCTACCAAACTGAGATTTACACAGAGAAGAATGTAGCGATTTGTTAGGACTAACACTTCGAGACAAAATAAAAAACGAAGAGGTCAGGAGAAAAACCAGGGGGACGATTTAAGAAGACAAAACAAAAACTCGATATGAGTGGCACAAGATATACAGGGTTGGAAACACAAGGAAGAGGCATATGTTCGGCAGTAGACTTTTGAGGCTGGATGATGATATCTTTTAACAACTTTCCTACATTTTTGAGATACAATTTTTTTTAAGAAAAAAACATTTTTCATATTTTCTAAATGTTTTCTTAAAATTAGGTTAAATAAACCGAGATGATTGTAATTAGCGAAAAATTTTACATCAAAAATGTATATTTTGATATTTTTTGAGCATCTATAGCCAGCGATGCAAGAAAAAGTGATAGAATACCGAAAAAAATTTTTAGAAAAAATTGAATTACTTATATAGACCGTTTTTTTGTAACTACAAGGTTAAAATTTGGTAAATCATCATGTTTTATAGTATATAATACACCTGTGAAGTTTAGTACAAATCAAAAAGGGTCACCTGTCCAACTTCGCATAGTTGACCAGAAATTACCCACAAGATAGAGTTAAATTAAAATAGCTGCATAAACACAATTTATCTAGTGACTTATTTTAATGTTTTGATTTCCACTTACACGGAAATTGTTTTTAAAATGTATTAGATTTGCGAAGTGAAAATAGAAATGTTAAAATAAACTTATTTTCAACGAACTTGTGGTGTATTCCTATTAAAAATGATTAATAATATGATCTTAATCCAATATTTCTGTACAAAAAAATACTATGTAGTAGTGGGTAAATATATAAATTATTAAAATCGAACACGTTTAAAACATTTTTTGAAGTCAGAGATGGCAGAAATGCAATGTAAATAAACAAAAATAAACAAAATATAAATATAATGCATTTTGATTTTTTTATATATAAACAAATATGTTCTTTTTTATCATAAATATAAGGTTTAACTTATAAATGTTGTTAGCAATGACAATAATTATAAATAATATAATATATAAAAATTAATAAAATATATGCAAATAAAAGAAGAAAAAATATTGTAAGATGCCAAAGTGTCTACCAGAGAAAATAAAATTGTAAAAAAATAAAAGAAATGTCAAGGGGCATGTAACATCGCCAAATATAACGTAAATCTAAAAAAGATACAAAAAACCAAGTACAACCACAACTCATAGAAATCTAAAAAAAGGTGTGTAATCCAAAGTTATTAGCTATTTTCAAGACATATTGTGAAAAATTTAACTAAAAAAACAGGAAATATTAAAAAGATATGCAAAATAAGTAAAAAAAAATAATTCGATTCAAAAAAAAAATATTGTAAGATGCCAAGTGTTCACCAAAGAAAATCAAATATTTATTCAAATAATGTTAAATAATAATTAAACACATAAAAAAGTAAAAGAAATACCAAAGGGCATGTAACATGGCCAAATATGACATAAATCTAAAAAATATACAAAAAGCCACCAGTCATAGAAATCTAAAAAAGGAGTATAATCCAAAGTTATTAGCTATTTTCAAGACCTATTGTGAAAAATTTAAATAAAAAGAAACAGGAAATAGTATTAAAAAAATATTGTGCAAATAATTAAAAAAAAATTCAATTTAAAATCCCAGTACATACTTTGTATGTCAAAGTTTAATAAAGAAATAAATATTTCAATAAAATATGCGTTATGCATATATTTCCGTCTAGAGATAAAAATCTCATAATCATCACCACACTTTTCACTTTTGAGAGAACGATTTTCTCGTTTCAAAACAATTCAAAACCCTAGATTATCACAAAATTTAGCACACTCTCGGAAGCAAAAACACATTTAAAAAACTCTTCAAGCAACGAACTAAAAAGCGATATTAGAAGTTATGATGAATGGTCCCTCTCGCGAATTTAAATTTTTAAATTTTTTATCACCCTTACCAAAAACAACCGCATTGTGTGTTCTAGGTGATGGAAAAAAACGTCTTTTGTGTTATGGTCCACGAAATCCGAGTCATATTTATATATGTGACCACACCTCGGCGGTTTGGTCCGTAAGAGATGATGCACACTGGGTACTTTCACATTATTTTGGAGATAGTGAGAAAGGGAAAAGGGGTCTCGAGGCAGAAAACGGAGGAAGATTATTTCGACTTGTAACGCGCGTTCCTTCCGTTTTTTTACGTCGATTTTTGATATAATTTAAGCTTAGTTGATTCAGCAACACAGAAAAAGTGAGTGTCAGTTGAACCAATGTACCTCACAAGGCGATCACTAATTGTGACAATTAGAGTCCGCTAGATGCAAAACTTTGTATTTACTGTATAAGTCAAACTGAGTTATTTGCAAAAAACTGATAAATTTTGCAAAAAAACCTTAGACATAATAAATGGCACTTTTTTGTGATAGATAAATGCTTTATTAGTTTAAATATAATTATTTTTTCTTAGAAAAGTTATTGGGTTTGCTAGAAAAGGAAGAAAAATTTGAAAATAACGAGTTTTGCAAGTGAACTATGTAAATACAGATTTATGCAACTAACATTTGTAAATACATGATAATAGTCAACCATTAACAATATTAGTGGTTGTTATATTAGTCTGTTTTCTAAACCTAGTATGTTAGGAATAAGGAAGAAAGCATGTGGAAGTAAACTTTTAGTGAAGTTTATTTTTATCCAAAGTACAAAAGTATTACAGATTATAATATGTATATACATATTTATATTAATTCCTAAACTCTAAGTTTCTCTGGGTCCTCATCATCAATATGATCATTTTCTGCAGCACTCTCGTTATTATTTGCTTGTACGCCAGTATCTATAATTTTATAAAATTTGAGATCCTACTGGTCTCTCCAATTTTCACCAAAATGGTGTCCAAGGAGAGTGCCTATGGACGATTTATCTCCTTTCAATAAACATCCAATCTGTTGTAACTTTGGTTTCAATAAAGAAATCTTTTTCCCTTTTCGTATTATAGACTTGCTCAACCCTATGTCAGAACGATAAAATATTTCCCCCCTTACCGTAGCCATATAATCTTTGTCCTTAGAAAATATAAATCGTTTCGTTGCATTACATTTAAAATGCCACTGGGAAGGCTTTTTAACAAAAACGTCACTCGTCTTTCTCCAGTCTGATATCTGTCAGTCTTTACCAAGTCTCAGCACCTTTGAGTGTTTTCCAATTATGTCTTCATATTCTTTTCTGTTTATTACAACGTTCTTCTTTTTTATCTCCCTTTCCATCATACCGAAAATCCTATCTGGTGGCAAAAAGAAATGACCAACAACAGGAAACGTAAACTCCACTTCCTTGATGTGACCAGGTGCTTCATAAACCAACCAGTAGATTATCATAGACATCATCGTGCTATTTTTGTTCTGTCCACCACATCCATCTGCAAATAGGTGAACTTTTTCGATTTGATTTTTAAAGTTGAATTTTATGAGAGTATCATGTACAACAGAGGCAACAGCATTTGAATCTTTTGGATGTTTAAACTCCAGCCACACATATGGCGTCACATTTGCAGAAGAAAGATGGGATTTCGAATTTCCAGCCACGATGGTGAAATTATAAAAATTTATTTGCTGTGAGAAATAAGCCGCCTGGTCGGGAAGCTTTGGCAAAGAAAGATTTTTTTGACAATCAAAAGAAAATATTTGTATGTTATGATTTGATTCATTTTTTAAAAAAGAATAAAAGGCTTTAGCTCTTAACGTATGAACTCTCTGCTCTGTTATAACCTTTAACTTTTCTTCTTCTGAATTTTCTTTTCTTAAAATTTCCTTCGCTCTGAGACACGCAGAACAAGCATCTACTAAGGGAGTGCCGAATAATATGTTGTAGTGTTTATTAACGTATGTTCGGAAATATGATAACTTTACGGAATGATGTGTATGACGTTGACAATACATTCTGTAAAGCTTTGTAAAATTTAGATCACATAATAAATACAATCTAGTCGATCGTCCTCTATTATAATGACTCTCTGCACCGTTCAAACGCCACATAAATGTTTGGATAGATAATTTTATTGGATCAAATCTACCTTTTGTTGTATCTCCCGTTCTCTCTTTTGGTATTTCACCTCGGATAGCAAACGTTCTTACAACACGCTCTATTCTTTCAGAACTTAAATGAGTTATTCCAAGAAATGCTGTCTTGCATACTCTTAAAAGTCCACCCTCTACTGTAGGAACAAAATATTTAATTGAAATTCCATGTAGGTTTGTACCTGATCTCTTGGGCTTTTGACCTTTACAAAATTTCAGCAAAAAAATATATTGTTTTATTTTGTTAGTTGTTGAATACAGATTATTATGGAAACGCTGAATGTCTCGCATCTTTAAATCTATACAACAATACACTTTCTTTGTATGGTTACAGGTGGGAAAACCGGGTAAATCCTTAGGTTTATGCCTAAAAATATTGACAATAAGTCCCAAACCTATCTAGTTAATTGTAGACACCTCTTACCTCTTAAGTTTCGTTTACATTACATTTCGTTTCCATTTTTCTGTTTGTACAACTCGTTTTCTCCTTTTTCCTTTTTCACAAGGTCTAATATGCACATGAAGATCCATAATGTTAATTATTTGCAATAAACTTGGTGTTTTTAGTACTCAAATAACAAACAGTGAAACCGGTAATGGCGAATGATGGAATAAGTGTCATGTGACTCAAACAATGTAAGCGATTGGAAAATTGCAATTACACAGTTATGCAACTGGCATAGGCTGACAAATACAGAGTTTTGCGTCTGACTCAAGATTTCTAATGCCTTTTTCTTAGTAAATACCTTACTTTGCTGCTGAATTTCTACATCAGCAGATAGCTATAACATGTGACAAATAACTGTCAGCTTAAACTCAATTTTTACAATTTTTGCAAATACAGAGTTTTTCATCTAGCGGACTCATATAAACATTTAATATAATAATATAATTTATATTTGCTATATTTCTGACAAAAGAAAATATTTTGGTACATTATTTTTTTTTTAGATATTTTTAAAACTATTTTTTTAAAAACTTTTCGACTGTTCGAACTGTTCGAGAACACTCCACATCTACCAAAAGAATAAATAAGGCTTTGTTGTAATATTGGACTAATTTCAATATTGATAAATATGAAAAAAGTATTTAAAAAATGTACGAAAATTAGTCAATGCACAAATGTTAAAAAATTTTGGCAAACTTCTTTAAATTAAAAAATAAAGACGGTACTAGTTTTTGTTTTAATACAGAGCGGCGACAAGCCGCTTATACGTACTTCGACCTCTTTAGATATCGTCGGCGGTATTGCCACCTCTTCTGGATCGCAACAAAATCTATTCCCGTCTTGGACAATAGTTATAAAATAACTAAATACGGACGTAACTAGGCCATCTAATAACAAAAATAGAAATCAAACGATTTCTACATGGCGAAATCGAATTCAAATTTTGACCACTGTGCTTTCTAAAACTTGCAAAGCAAGCAGCTTGATAAATAACGCAGCAAGGGAATCTAAGATTGCATTCCAAGCTGTTTGCTTTGCAAGTTTTAGAAAGCACATTGGTCAAAATTTAAATTCGATTTCGCACTTATTAATTCAATTTTAAAAATTAATTTACTTTAGTAAATAGTTGTCTGTTAGTTTTAGTTAATATTTTTATATCTTTATTAGTAAAAACCAGTCTATCAGTTTGTATGGAGTTCATGTATTTGCAATCAACCTTACCCGTGTAAAGTTTTTTGCAACTTTAGAAAGTGTAAATAATTTTCTCGTAATCTTCATATAGATGGAGGATTTTAATGGAAGTTATAGGTATATCCGTAAAACACTATCTGACACTGGATGGAGTGTCAATCACAAAGCTGTGAAACCTATTTTTTTGATAACTAGTTCAAGTTACAGTAAAATTGTGTAGTACCAAAGAAAATATTAATACACGGGGCTTTATTCCCGAATAAATTTGATTTCAAATTTTGTGGATTCCTTCATTTATGGGGATACATTTTGTAAGAAATAAATAATTCCTAGATGTGTTTACAAACGGAGTGATTAAGCCATGGAAACGTCGTAATAAAACTCTAAAGTTTGAAAGTCTTTTTGGAAGACAGTTTATATGAGTTGGCCATGAAGGCTCTCCAGTTCGCTTCGGAGAAATGTAATGAAATGGAAATCTTCCTTGAAAAAAAGTAGAAGGCGTTTAAGATATACTTGGAGAAACAACCTAAGATGCCGAAGATGATCTATGATGATGAAGATAAAGACTATCTCTCGAAGATGAAACTAAAAGATATATGCTTGAATGTTTTAACAAGCTACACCAAAACCTTCAAACTAGAATGTATAAAATGGAGACTAAATTTAAAAATTCAAAATCGTTTAGGTTCAAAATTTGATGATCAATAAACTGTTAATGAAATTAAAAGACTTCGCCACCATATAAAAGCTGCAAGAATAAATGAAAAGGCCAGATATTGGACTACATTGAAAATACTTATTTTAATATGGACTTAATGAAATCTGTTACAAATATCTTTGGCACAATATGTATCTATACTGCTTCTAATGAAAGGAGTTTTTTAAAATTGAAACTCGTAAAAAGCTATTTACTATTGATTATGAGCCAAACCCTAAATGATGGCTAAAGAGTTTTACAATGCATTTAAATAAATGTGAACTAGCAAACAATATCAACTTCGACAACTTCATCAAACAATTTTCAGATATAAAAATAGGAAAAAACCTTTGTAAGTAAAAACTTCCCAAATAAAATAAAATATCAATATAAACAAAACAATCTTGTGTTATCATTAACGCTTGCCTTAATGTTTGGATAATGAATAATACAAAACCAGATTAATTCAATTAAAAGTATTTTATAGTATAGCGTAGGTATAGATTTAATTATATTTTACTTTTAAATTTTAAACATGTTGTATGTTCTTCTTCTTTCAGTGCCTATTCGTTCCGAATATTGGCAAT